TTTAGCCCAATGTAGTCGGTTGGAATGGTCATGTATGCACAAGGCAGTTTGAATTTCAAACTTGTCTGTTTTGAACAAAATTAGATTAAAAGTAGATCATGTTTCGTTCTGAATAACAGACAAGCAATTGAGGATTGGGCTTTAAACTGAAACACATAGATTATGTTTCTTTTTAAATTGGAGAGACGGATCAGATAGACTGACGGAGTACTCACGGATTAGAGATTGTGCATATTGGATTCGTGTGGAAGTTCATAGGCAGGCACAGGTGTGTAGTCGTGCGGAGAAGGTCAAGTGGAGTGGGGCGAGTGTGCAGGTCGGAACGTGTTATGGATGTGGGTGTTATCACGAGGAAAGTTGGAGGCGCGGGTGTGACTGGCGTGCGGGAGCGGGGCGATCGTGTGGGAGGAAAGGCACACGGAGTCGTGCGGGCACAAGTCCTGGTCAAACATGCAAACGTGGGTGTAGGCCAAAAGATCCTTGCAAGAGTGTTATACACGCAGGTTGTACAGGAAGGCCAAAGGCTTAGTATCGTGGCTTCTGATCGTAAGAGGAAGAGGATGCCTGAGTTAGAGATTTTGAACGGAAAGAAGCCAAACGAGCTTCATGCGAACAGAAGCAAAAGATAGACAAATAAGAGCAGTACACAGACAGGATTGAAACTAAAACCAGCGTAAGTCTTTCTTCTCCTTTTTTTTTACATTTCATTGGGATACATTTTGTGTTAATCGAATGAATGCACTCCTTCTAAGCAATGCCTCCATCTGATTATTTTCTAAAACAGTGCACCAGTTCAATTTTTTCTTTCTCTTTTTTTCCATCTTTAATTCAGTCAACATAACCTAAGAGACCAAAAGGTAGCAAAATTTTTGTATAGAGGTTTAAAGGCAAGCTTGATTGTGCTTTAAAGGATCTTGAAGTTTGTCAATCATGGTGGAAAGTTAATATAAAATTTAGAGCAATAAATATGGGAATATATAGAAATAAGAAAATATATAAGTAGTGATGAACATAGTAGAAGTTTGATAACGATGGAAAAACATAGAGAAAGTGAGGGAGAAGAAGAAAGAATTTTGAAGATAATTAGCTAAACTACCTACAATATCAGAGCTTGGACTGATCGATCTAGGCATTTCATATGTTAGAAGCCACACACATGAAATAGTCGAGCAAGCCACTCTGTTCACCTGAATTGCGCCAGACAGCGCAAACAAGCTGCCTCTGCTCCCCTTCATGCACGAGCCGAACCACGATGCCTCCAGCTCGCTTTTTCTCTCTCCAATCATCAAATGATTCTCCCTCTCGTGATTCTCCCACTCGCGAGCCTCTCTCTCACCATTTAAGGCCAATTGGAACCTAGGACATCCTATTTTCCTCCCCTCCTCTCACAGTAGCCACCGTACATCTTCTCCCCTTCTCTCTAGTAGCAGCCGCTAAAATCCTCCATTCTCCTTCCTCTTCGTTCTTTCGCTCCACAGCAGCCGCTAAGTTCATCTTTTCACTATTTTCTCTTTTGTGAGTACAAAAGAGATATTTATATCTCTTCATCGCGTCCCATGTTGCCGGGGTATATCTCCTTCCAAACCCAGGTGTGACACTGCCACTCATGAGAAGATTTATAAGATAGTGTTTTGCACTACAACCCCTGAGAAAGAAAAAAGAAGAGGGATTGGCTGGTCTAGGGGAATTTCATTTCATTTCAATTGCATCATTGTACAAGTGAAGATAAGTTGAGAAAACAAAAGTTGTAAGCATTTGAAACTTCAGCTATAAGCTAAGTCATTTTGTGGGTTAAAAGATAAGTTGATATATAGTGATAAACTTGTTTAGCATTTTTTTCTCCATTTTGGCTTGATTTCTTGGCTTAAGCTCATATTTAGTCATTTTACATCCATTGAGTAAATCCTAAACATCAAGAATACAGAAATAAGTGCTCAATATATTGTCTAAATAGAAATTATCAACACAATAATGTTCATATAAGCCACAACTATCACAATTGTAACTAGGGAAGACGATGATCACAAAGGAAAGAGATCTCAAAAAATAAGTCACACCACAGCTTGCGAAAAAGAGCACCCAAATGCCTCTCCGACAATCTCAAAGGGGAACAAAGGAGATCACAAATGAGGAATGAAGAGATCGTAGATGAAGGAAATGATCGCTAGAAAGAAGGGAAGGTGAGCAAAGTTAAACGCTATTTAGGGTGCTAAGCTTAGGCCAATTTATCTTGTTGTTGAGCAATGAGTTCATATAAAAATATCTGAAATCCTATTTGGCAAGAAAATAGGCTTGAACTATCTTATGCAAGGACTAAAGCATGAATCATATAGATCCTAATGGTTGGATTGGTTAGGACATTGATTCGAGGAGCCTAAGATCATGTTCAGTTCAAGGATGGATTTGTTTGGTCAAAGGGGGATTTATTATAACCCTTACGATGCTAGGTTGGAAGGTTTCATGAATGTGACACTTGGGGTTAAAATCATGTTTATATTGAGTATAGATAACAGCAAAGGTCACATAAGATGAATGTGACTCCTGTGCTAAAGATTAAAATACCAAATTATGAAGCAATAGTTGAAAAAAAAAATCAGAGAAAGAGAGAGGGAGAAGAAGAAGAAGAAAGAACCTTGAAGATGGCTAGTTAAACTCCTTGCATGTGTTGGAATAAAGCTTTTCCTCACCAAAACTTAACAATGAGAAGGCGAGGGGGGTTTCCATAAGGGGTGGCTAGCCAAGATGGCTAGGAAATTCATTTCATTTCACCAATCATCATCAAAAACTTACACATGAAACCTAAACCTCCAAAAAATAGATGGGGGAATTTTCCATTTAGAAATTTTCAAGATTTAAAATAACACTAAATCCTAAAACAATTATAAGTACTTTTACATAGTATCGTGACACTTGGTAGCTTTTTCATAAATGTAAGAACACAATAGCATTTCAACATGAACATAAAAATACATAATGTGAGAACCTGGGCTAGTATCACCATGTTTAGGCCTTTTATTTTGCAACAAATACCTTACAAGACTTTAGTTCTTCAATTTTTTTATGCCTACGAAGCCAGAAATTTCTATTTATACCAACTAATAGAGAAAATAGTGATGGGGAAGTAGATGAAGCCTTGCATAGAGGAATGTGATGAGGACATCGTCAGCAATTTCGACATGTGTGCCATCGGAGACACCAGAAGATCGACGGCCACGATCAGGAGCTTTATTTATTTTGTCATGTTATGTAGTAATTTATTTTACTTTAGTTTTTCCATTTTTACCCTTATGGGTATTTGGTCTCTAGTGTAGCCCAAGGGGCATTTTAGTCTATTATTTCCTTTGTCATTTTTGGCCTATATATATGGCCATTTCTTATGTAATGGTTAATGAAGATTTGAATGAAAAAAATGTGTTTCTACTTCTTCTTCTTGCATGAGGGCTTGAGAAGGGAGAGAGCTCAAGGGGAGCAAATTGCAAGGCCCACCAGTCGTTGGAAGAGTCCGCGGCTCGTGGTTAGGTTTTCTATCTTCTCCTTCGTATTCACCTCCATCATCCTTCTCTTCCACCACAAGAAAATCTCTTCCCAACTCTAGTTGCCGCCGCCCCTTGGAAGCCCTTGAAATCAAATTTCAAATTAATTTCCCTCCCTTGTCATTTAAAATCCTGAAATTAATTTCAGGTTTTTGATTTTAAAACCTCCCTCCCTCTAATGAAACCGCCGGCCCCATATATGGCTCCCATTCATTAACTCCCCAATTAAGGCATTAATTCCATTGATTTGAAATTCAAATTTCAAGTCAATTCTCTCTCAATTTATTCAAAACTGAAATTAAATTTCAGTTTTGTTTAATCCATCCCATAATTCCCTAAACATCTTTTCTCCACCCTAGCCTTTCTCCTTGCACCCGCCGGCCTCCCCTCTTCCTCCAGCTCCCGCCGCCCCACCTTGCTTCTCCCTCGAATAGAGAAGCCAAGGAAAGGAGAAGACGACGCCTCCCCTCTCCACTTCAATGTTGAATGGCGGATCATGAGATCCATCTTCCACCAAGTCGTTGGATCATCATCGGACATCCGCCAACTACTCCGACTACTTCCCGTGGACAAAGACTTCCGGCATCTTCTTCCTAGTGGTGATCTCAATTCTAGTTGCAAGATCTTCTCTCGCCAAGCCTAGTGTAGTCGAGTGAATAATCCCCAAGGTGAAATTTCTCATTATTAAGTGGTGGATTGTTGTTTAATAGCCCTTAGCTTTGCTACTATTTTGTTTATCTCCAAGGATTAGTTAATCTACATGTACTCCTTCGCCTAAGCGAGTTGAAAATCAAGAATCTTTAATGAATTTGCTTATTATTTCAATAAGTTATTAATTGAGATTTCATTGTCAATGATTCTTAAAATTTCTTAACAAGCTCCTTTCGCATGTGGTATCACATCAGAATGTGAAAGAAACCTTAAACTTCGTCATATCAGAAAGGGGAGAATCAATCAACCTTGGAAGGGGAAAACAACACATTCAAGTAACTTTCACTCATAAAAATAGCACATGTTCACTTTATGTGACTACTAGAAAACCTATATAAATGGCTATGAAATAAAAAAAGATAACAATCCTTGAACTAAAAGCAAAATGTTGTTTGACATCAAAAAAAATAGCATGATAACAAAAAAATAGAAAGATCAAATTAAATGACATCATGAAGAGTGATCAATAGAATAACAAATGAGGAAAAACTTTGGCAATAATAATGACATTAAGATCTTGAGGAATAAAGATACGACTTAAAAAATAACAAATAATGATGTTACCCTATGATGGGAAATCATCACATAGGTTTGCTTTCTACTCTTGACACTGAGCTAAAAATAACTTAAAGTGCCACTTTCACCAAACATTTAATAATCAAGCTTCTAAGGAATCATACGCCATCATTTCTTAATGCATGAACAAATTTTGCAATCCTACATATTTAATGATGGCAAAGGGTGGAAAATTTTAACCTTGTATAGATTGTTGTAAAGAAATGACGAAGTCTTGAGTGCATTGGAGATTCTATATTACCAAATTCCTGAGAAAAATGAAAAACATAAAACTGGTCAAGTCATAACCATAGATAATTGAAGATTCTAACAATTTTAAAGTAGAAAAGGAACTACATAACATATTAAGGTTCACATTCATTAAAGGAATACAATTAAAGGCCCAGACAAAACAAAAAAAACAAAAAAAAATTAAAAAAAAAACAATTAAAGGCCTAGACGATAGGCACAAAGCTAACCAAAAATGTTGCACAACGTCCTGAGGGAGAGGAAAACTTGCTCCAACCATACTTGCAGTATCCAGAACCGCCTACATTTAGTAAATTAACAAAGTTACAAATGCTCGAATGCTTAAATATTACATAAATCAAATATACTTAAGGTGAGTAGTTCATTGTCACCGGTCATAGAGACAACGTCCTACTATTTTAGAACTTAAGAATCTTTCTTCAACCTCATTCATGTTAGGAGCTTGTCATGATCATCATCACAAACAATATTTAGCGGCAGCATTTTTAGTATAATACCCAGAATTAACAAAAGGTAAGCTTATTTTTATCATTTTTCCCCAAAAACGTTAAAGCTGAATTGGAGATTATATATATATTCATGTAATGTCATTAAACTTAAGCAGTGAAGTAAAATTTCATTAGCAGTTAATTAATTACTCTTCCTATATAGATTTTAGCCCACTACAACTTATATAATATATTAAATTTGCTACCGCTAAATCCTCCACTAAGCAGACGATGCAATGGGTAGATGACATCATGCGGCTCAGAATGATTTGGGATAACTGCAGTGGGAAAAGGAATTATAGTAATATATTACTATATTGTTTATAGATAAGCACTATTATTCCATGTCATCCACTTTCCCCACCCAAGCCTCTCTAGTATTCGAAGCAAGCAGTGAGTTGAAGGACTCGTGAGAGCTGGAGCCGGCTGCTGGCTGCTGGCTGCTGGCTGCTAGAGAACTGTTGGGGGAAATTTCAATTTGCCAAATTCAGAAAATAGTCAAGAAAAAGAGGTAATGCGCTGCTGTAGTTTTCTGTTCTCTGGATTCAGTAGAGAAAATAGGTACTGTGCTGCTTCAATAAACTAAAATCAGCTGATATTTGCCAGCAGAAAATAGTAAGGCTTGCAAAAAATAGTACGGAAAAAGTAAAGGGAAGGTAGTAGAGAAGGAATTGTAGAAGAGAGGTAGGGGTAGTATTGAATGAGGAAAAACTTCTTTGAGATAAATGTTACCTCCTTTTTGGTTGGAGTTTGCTAACCTGAATTCATTAATATTGAGTTAAGCTATAATGCATGAAATAGCAAAACTGTGATATTTAGGTTGTATATAAGAAGAAAAGAGACAAGGGTACTGTAGGAGAACAAATTCACCCGCCTATGCTCGAGAACGAGGTGAGATACACAAACTATGACATAGGAAATAGTAAATTTTGATATAATTACAACATCACATGGTATATGATTTTGATGGCCTAAATTTTAGTTTCATTATGTATTTAATTGTTGGTTCCTCAAGTATTATTGCAATGGCATATTTTTATAATTGTTATGAAATTTGAAATGTATTATGAAATGTGAAATGTATTAAAAAAGTTAGATAAGTGATATACAGGGTATAGATCCACATAAGTAAAAGTGAAAGGCCTGATGATGTAAGCTTACACTTTCTCAATTCTAAAAGTTGGGAATCGGACTCAACCTTGAATTAGAGAGCGGTCTCAATTCTAAAAGTTGGGAATAATGACCCAACCTTAAATTAAAGAGTTGTAAGTAGCAAAAGCATATAGTCATTATATGACTTGCCAAAAAATGTAAAACAGAAAATAAAATAGGAAATAATGTTTTATATAGATTATCATGTTGTGTTGTTTCAATTAGTTGTATACATGTTGATTATTTCTCATACATTACTTGTGTATTTTATTGAGCTTTAGCTCATTAACAGTGATTGTACAGCATGAAAGAGAATGGAACCAGTGGGGAATTAGACAAGAAGATTGACTGTCGTTTTTTTGTATATACGTTTTGGGTGTACATTGATGTCATAGAAGAATTTTGTACAAGTGTTTTTGGTATGTAAATGTTATTTGAAGTTTAATAAGCTTTGTATTTTAGCTAATATGCTTAAATATGCTTCCAGTTATGAAATATTGATGTAAGCAAAAAATATAGGGGACCCTATATTTTTTGCTTAACAAAAATAAAACTATACAACACCTAACAAAGCAAAGACTAGAAGAGGAAAGAACAAATTCTTACATTTCAAATAAAACTAAAAAGACGAAATTACAACGACGACGACTTGCAAACTTAAAATTAAAAGACGACACCCTAAAGTTGCTGCACTTGGAGAAGAAAGATACAGATGGAGCGGCACTTGCGAAGAGACGAAGAGATTAGAAGCCCGAGAAGAA